TTTGATAGTGGTGTTTTGGAGAAATAAATACATCTAAGTAGCAGTAGCTCCCAAGGACTGGACTAGATCACCACTCTTATAAAGATTCACGTAACAAAAATGTAAATAGTTAAAGTATTGTGCAATTGCTACATTTTAAGCTTTTCACAGTATGTATAAAAAGATAGCAAACAGAAAAAAAAAACACTGTCAGAGTAAATAACACTGTGATTAACAACCTGACATGTGTGCAACCTTGTGCAAAAGTGGAACTTGTATATACTTAACTGTACCAGACTTGTTTCGATGTATAAAACAGTACTCTACTGGTCACTAAAAAGGGCCTGACTGAATGAAAATTGGTCAGTGGCTTCAGCAGGTGTGTGGAACACAGCTTCAGTGTTCATAGTGTTTCCTGGTCTTGTGTTTTGACGTGTTCTGTCAGAAGTGGAGTTGTTTGGGTATGGGTAATTTGCTGAGTTTTGGTGGACAGAATGGTGGGCCATTGTGTGCGAATACATCGGACCTCTTGGCTCATATGGCATGTAGTGTGGTGGTTGTGCAGGTGCATGAATGACCTGTTTCAGAAGAGAAAACCCATCAACAATCGATGTGGTAAGTCTTTCCAGTGTATTGGACATTTTTGAATAGTTTTCGGATGCTTTTTGTTCTGATGTCTCAATGATTTCCACCAGTCTCTTTTTCACACGCTGGTCTTCCTCAAGAGCATTCAGCCACTGGGTCTCAGCAGGCAGCTTTCTCCTCAGACGGTCGTGTCTGTGTCCTTTTAGTTTTGCCTTCAAAAGAGAAATGAAAATCATCACAATTAAACATAAAAAAGTAAACCTGGATCATGTTGATGTTGTACTTTTCACATCACTTCTACATAACAATATGTAATAACAGCGTATCCAATGTTTGCTATATGTCTTAAAGTGTATTTTGTACCCACCACCCCATCAAACTAATGAATATGTAGGCCTAACATAATATGAGATGAGTAAGAGCATGATGGTGTCATTTCTTTTTTGCAATAATAATAAAAATAAATCAGCAACCCGTACACAGTAAAATATAAAAAACATCACATTCCAGCCTCCACTACACACCTCAACTCTTGCATAATTTTTAACACACATATTGCCTTAACTGTATTTTTAATAGCAACACAATTCAACAAACCTGTTCCGTGAATTATAGTACATCCAACAGATGAACATTTACAGCAAAAGTACTTTTATTTATGAGGAATGGACAGAAAAATATACGTACATCAAGCAGGTCTCTCCTCTCCTTTGAAGTAGGACCCACACTGCTTTCATTATCAGACCCTGTGTCTGCTACATCCATGGTAGTGGAGGAAGAAGATGTGGATGGTGAGGGTAGGGTCCGAGAATGATCCAGGTCAGCTGTTTCACTACCGGAGGATATGGTAGTACTAGCTGGAGAGCCACCCCAGATTTGTTCGCACAGTTCGAAGTACAGAAGAACCACTCGACCGTGTCCACTCCTGCGTCCTGTATCAACAGCATGGCGATATTTACCTCGGACTGCTTTCATTTTTGTTGTTAAATTCCCGCGCGTGATGTCGGCATGTGAATGGGGAAACTCGTCGGAGGACTCCGTTGGGTAATGCTCTAAAAAAAGCGCTAAAATATCAACATACTTGTTCTGACAGGATTCCCAGTCGACATTTTCCTGAGTTTTATTAACTTTGTACTCCAACACGGTATTTAATAGTAGTTCAACCTCGCGGTCTGTCCACACAAACGAACCTCCAGGCGCCATGATTCAATACTAACAGGAAGTTGTGGTTGCTTTGAAGGGTTGTGATTGGCTGATATACGTTTCACCTTTGCACTACACTGCCTCCTATGGGTTGGGCATATTCTTTACAACGCTCTGTGGTGAACATCACCGGGTTCATGTAGACGATCATTTTCTCTATCCGAACATGTATGTACGGCGATATTTTTTTGCGCGGATATTCGTTTTTTCAAACACCAGGCTACGTGTGTACAGGGCCTTATTTGTATAAAAAAAATCTGTATGCCTTTTTATAACCGTCTATTGTTGTCGTTGTTGTCCATTGTTGTCATCATTCTTTGTTAAAATCAGGTCTCTCTTGTAAATGAGTCCTCGAGGCTCAATGGGATTAACCTGTCTAAGGCCCTATTTACACGGACACGATGGGTGAAACGTAGGTTTTTTCGTATGTTAGGGGCCGTTTACACGGCGCGTATTTTGAGTGCATCCGCAGCTTTCTCTCTGTGGTTCTGCTGATCATTTACGCGACACCAGTGGCCCCCCCTCTTTGAATCCGGAGGTTTCTGAACCCACCTTCCAGAGTGGAGGTTTTTCGCTGACCCCCCGCTGATAATGTAAACATCTCTCGCTGAGGCTTTGTGTTAAACCACATGCGCACATTCACGCGCGGACAGACGCTATATTTCTATCAACATGGCGGTGGGCACACTAATTTAGCACTGAACTATGATTGATGGAATATCTTTTTAATCTCGTAGTTAATCTACGTCAGATTCCAGGTGCTGTGACCGACATCTGAGTTGGAAGAGACACAATCTGATCCAGTACTGTTAACTTATCGGGTCGGATGGGGTTTGGAAATTATGACTGTGGGCTGGGGCCGGGTCGGATCAGATTATTTAGGCCCGAATGCAACTCTATCTCATAGTGGATCAACTGGATTGCTGCTGACAACCAAAACCAGCTGCCCACATGTAAATGGAGGACCATTAGCTTAACAATTGATAATTAGTGTCCTAACAGCCACTTACTATTCACAGGGGACTGAGTGATACTAGCAATAACAGCATTGTAAGATGAGGATAGTTGAACACGGAGGCCTTCACCCCTGTTTAATGATGGACGGTTTCTTTTCACAAAGATGGCCTCCTTTACTCCTCTCTCAAACCATCGTTCCTCTCTGTCCAGGATGTGAACATCTTCATCCCTGAAAGAGTGACCGCTGGCCTGGAGATGAGTGTAGACCACAGAGTCCTGGCCTGATGATGTTGATCTTCTGTGCTGGGCCATCCTTTTGGCCAGTGGCTGTTTAGTTTCCCCGATGTAAGACTGATCACCCTCCTGACACTGAACAGCATACACAACATTACTCTGTTTGTGCCGGGGGACTGGACCTTTGGGATGAACCAGTCTTTGCCGTAATGTATTTTGGGGTTTAAAAGCCACTGGGACGTTATGTTTAGAAAATAAACGTCTCAGTTTCTCTGATACTCCCTCAACATACGGAATGACCACTGGGCTGGGTCTGGGTTCCTCCTTTTCACCTGTTGGCTGACTGGAGTCCTGTCTGGGTTTCTCTTCTGCTTTCAGGAAGGCCCAGTTAGGATATCCACATTGCTCTAGAGCCTGTTTTGTGTAGGATTTCTCCTTCTGCCTGGCTCCTGAGTTAGTGGGGACACTGTCTGCTCTGTGATACAGAGTCCTGATGACTCCTAACTTGTGCTCCAGAGGGTGATGGGAGTCAAACTGCAAATACTGGTCTGTGTGGGTGGGTTTGTGGTACACCTCAGTTTGCAAATGTCCTCCATCAGAAACAGACCTCACAGTCCAAGAAAGCCAACCTGTCATTTTTGTGATGTGAGGGATGTCATCATGGAGAATGATGAAACAAGTCTCTTTTGCAAGTATCACTCAGCCCCCTGTGAATAGCAAGAGGCCATCAGGGCACTAACGATCAATTATTAGGCTGATGGTCCTCCATTTGCATGTGAACAACTAGTTTTGGTTGTTACCAGCAAACTGGTTGATCCATTATTAGAAGGCGCTGTTTATAAGACTGAGGCTTCATTTACACGACACATATTTTGACTGAAACCGCAGCTTTTCTACTGCGTTTCAGCCGTTCATTTACACAACAGCCCTCGTTCTTTCTGAAACCCAAGGTTTCTGAATCCTGAATGCAGATGTTGCATGTGCGATGAAGTTGCCAGATACATTTAAAATGTCTTATTTACCCCCTCCTTTTCTGTGCACATGTTCAACAAACACAACACACATCTCATCTTAGAATATCTTTACTCAACACATATGACAGTTTAGGTCAAAATACCATCATTTTAAAGCGACAATACTATAGTTCATAATTTCTTATCTGGCAACCTGCCTGATATTGAAACTACAGCGCCTTCATGTAAACCTACTAATTTTTTGTTTATTACCCCCAATTAACATTGAAAAAACACTTAACGTTTCCAGAGGTTGTTCTCGTGTAAACAGGGCCTGAGTTTGTTGCAGCTCCTCAGACTGAATGCCTTTTGGATAAAATACTAAATGTTTCAACAAAGAAGAATCTGTCCAGATGACCTGTCTCCCTGGATTATTGAGCATGCATTAGGACATTGGTCATTTAAGTTCTTTATTTGTTTAAGATAAACCTGCATTTACAATAGCTGATTAGTTTAAGAAGAATTACTTTTTTTTTCATCCCACAGAGAAATTTTTTTTTTTGTAGCCATATCCAGGTACTTCACAAAGTTAAAATACTAAAAACAGCAGCAACTTAGTAGAAAAGTACCATCCATCCATCCATCCATTTTCTTTACCCGCTTATTCCATTTTTGGGTCACGGGGGTCGCTGGTGCCCATGTCCAGCCATCACTGTGCGAGGGGCGGGGTACACCCTGGACGGGTCGCAAGTCCATCACAGGGCCACATAGAGACAAACAAACATTCACTCTCTCACTCACACCTAGGGACAATTTAGAGTTACCAATCAGCCTAACATGCATGTTTTTGGACTGTGGGAGGAAACCGGAGTACCCGGAGAAAACCCACGCATGCACGTAAAGAACATGCAAACTCCACCCAGAAAGGCCCCTGGACCGGGGTTTGAACCAGGGACCTGCTCGCTGAGAGGCAGCAGCTCTACCAGTTGCGCCACCGTGCTGCAGTAGAAAAGTACAATCTAGATAAAGTAAATTTACTGATAATTATTTATTTCACTACAGCCATTTGAACTGTAATTAAATTAACTCATGAGGTGTGTAATATACTCACCCTTTAAGTGAAATATACAGTACATCCAATGAGTAATTTCTCAGAGTTTCATTCAGATTTGTCCTCTGGCTCATGAGATGTTTTGCCAACAATAAACCTGGGTATTATCAGCCTGACAGTACTTATCAGAACTTAATCTGTGTCACAATATTTTGCCTAGATGAACCATATATAGAGAAAACAAAACTGGACCAAGCACAGAAGCTTGAGGAACATCACAATTAACTTTAACAAGGGATCAGGATGCTTTTTCATTTTTATAAACATTATCAGATAGTTATGACATAAAAGCTTCTAAGGTCTTACCTTAGAATCTTAGAACCTTATTATCCCAATAATATTCTCAAGTCTGTAAATTAGGGTTTGGTTGAGGGTGTCTTATGCAGAGCCAGCACAGAAACAAAAACGTAGTTGAAGGCAACAAAGAGACGTTTTGTAACTTTAACTGTGGTAGTTTCAACATACTGTACTCTGATGCACTTCTAAAGTAAGAGATGCATAAAGAACAAATCTGCTGATAAGCAGTGTTAATCTAGAATAGTTTAGCAAGTTATGTGTTGCTTAGATTTGAAACAGGATTATGATGTACCTTTTTTTTTGTGTTAAACTGATATGTTTCATACACACTTGGTTTTCTGCACCAGTTTGTTGCACCGTATGACAGGCGAGCAATGGACTACAATAAAGATGACCTTAAACTACATTATAACTGGGTCATAAACCACTGAGACAGAAGAACAGGGTGATATTTCTGATGACTGCGGCAACTTTTCCAAGTTGTTAAATGCATTTAAAATTGATGATTGAAACCAAACAGGAAAATAGTCAGCATATGTGTGACTAATTCAGCCGTTCTATTTATTTATTTATTTTTGGAAATATTAGCCAAACTCCGTAATGCTTTGGATCACAGCTGGGATAATACGTCAATTTGTGACTAAAAGTGAACAGCTGAGTCTCTCTGGGAATTGTTTGGAAGCTTTTGTAACATTACCTAATTAATATTTGACACAGCAGCCACGGCGTGACGGTGGGTGCTGCACTTTGACACACTTGCATGCGCACGTGTGCACGGCCTCACTTTGATACAGTAGACCTGTCACTGTTACACTGCCCTCATTTCACATGTGCATCCAGTTTACAGTTGCACAATGCCCTCCTTTCACTGAAGAAAAGCACAGGTTGACGAAATGCTATTAAACATTAACTTTTTTTGTTTGTTTGTTTTAGTTGTTTGTAAAATTTTTCACAGCTTTTTTATTTTAATTTTTTACATTTTTACATGACAATTTGCCTTTCTTCTACATGTCCATCCAGGTATCTAAAATGGTGGTACAAGAAGACCCAAGTGGAGAAGAAGGCTCCGTTCATCGATATGTTTCATTCCCAGCCTTTGCGTCAAATATATGGCAAGTGAAGTTCTTTATTCAATTAAAAGTATTTTCTTATTGTAACATTCTATACAGGCTTTTAAGGGCAAAAAAATAAAAGGTATAATATTAGTTTATCATTTGAGTAGTTCTTCAATTTGTCTTACTTTTTTCTATTGTTGGTGTAGTTGTATGTCAAAAAATAAAACTTAAATTAGCCCATTTGTTAAAATCTTGAAGTGTTTTTTTCACATGTTAATAATAATAATAATAATAATAATACATTTTATTTGTAGGCACCTTTCTTGGCACTCAAGGTCACCTTACATTGTCAATCATAAAAACAGACACAATATTATACACACAGTAAAAACAAGTAAAATAGAATGTTTTATTAATGCTAGTATTCTTGTATCATTGAGTCCATGTTCTGCTTCTCCCGCGCTCATAATACATGTATCCCGACAGGCTCTGGTGGCTTTTTACTATCTGAAGTTAAACTTTATAATTATTAGGACTGATGCTACTCTAGTTCTGAGTGTTTTGTGTTACTCAAATATCTCCTGGAAAAATTTACTCAGGTAAAACTCGGGGAATCTTGTGTTCATGAAATGCTGAGAAACCTGTTATAGAGATTCGCTAAGACTTTTCTGTCCTAGTTTTTAATTAAAGAAAGTAAAGAGCTCCTAATTTCTCTGCGTTGACATCCTAATCTGCAGGTGCTCCGCTCGGTGGGATTGGAGGGGGAACCATTACGAGGGGCTGGAGGGGGGAGTTCTGCAGATGGCAACTTATTCCTGGGATGTACCACTACAAAACTGTTATAGCTAACCAGGTAACCGACATCTTTATGGGATAAATTCCTCTGTGGGGGAAAAAAGTTTTTGTATACTTGTCGGCCACAATAATAAAACCACTGATGGCTGAAGTAATTGGTCATTCTATTACACTTCATTTATAAGAATATTAATTTCTCCTCCTGAGACATGTGTGGAGATCATTCCTTTCAGTCCTTGGATTATCAAATTATTAATCTGTTACACACAATTCAATATGGAAATCAGTTGTAGCCTATATCAGAAACATTTAGTCACTGTTCATAAATCTTGGGGTCTGGTTTATGAACCATCTTAAGTCATAGCAGTGTTCCTGTGGCTGGTTAGCTCAGTTCGATGTAGGACTGGCTTGAGAGATAGGGTTTTTCCACCTAAGCAATTCCAGTGGTAGAGCTGGATTATTATTAGGTTATCCAAATTCTTTGACGACATATTCTGTTAACAGTAACAAAAAAATTTTAATGTAGAGTCTTGGTCTTCAGAATTGGTCAGATGCAGAGAACTAATTTCGTCATTGCATGGGAACGTACAATGATGATAACTTGGTGTTCTTTGAACATCTCATACCAGAATGTCAGACAGAACGTGATTGCTTTTTGCAGATAGCTGCCTCATTTGGCCCAGATTTAACAAGCACAGCTGATTCAAGGCGGTAGCCACAAGATAAGTTGATAAACAGGGAAACTCACCAACTGTAAAAAATGTTTTAAAAAAGCTTCCTCTTACCATATAAGGGAATCATCCAACAGAAACATGGGTCGTAGGTGTCTTCCTTTGACAGGATGCTGTCACGGCTGGATTGGATCGGATGGTGTCCCCCAGGAGTGTCCAGTCTGAAAGAAACCCCATTACTGATCAACATCTTACACTGCCTGGCCAAAAAAAAAGTTGCCACCAAAAAAAAAAAAGGTCACACACTAATATTTAATTGGACCACCTTTAGCTTTAATTACGGCATGCATTCACTGTGGCATTGTTTCGATAAGCTTCTGCAATGTCACAAGATCTTTTTCCATCCAGTGTTGCACTAACTTTTCACCAAGATCTAGCATTGATGACTCGGCACTAGACATGATGGGTGCATCGCTTCACCTGCCTCTCTTCTTACCCTGATGCGCCCATCACTCTAGAACAGGGTCAATCTGGACTCATCAGACCACATAACCTTCCATTGCTCCAGAGTCCAATCTTTATGCTCCCTAGCAAATTGAAGCCTTTTTTTCCAGTTAGCCTCACTGATTAGTGGTTTTCTTAAGGCTACATAGCTGTTCAGTCCCAATCCCTTGAGTTCCCTTCATATTGTTCATGTGGAAATGCTCTTACTTTCACTATTAAACACAGCCCTGAGTGCTACTGTTGTTTTTCTTCGATCTGATTTCACCAAATGTTTAAGTGATCGTCGATCACGATCAATCAGGATTTTTTTCCGGTCACATTTCTTCCTCGAAGATGATGGGTCCCTACTATCCTTCCAGTTTTTAATAATGCGTTGGACAGTTCTTAACCCAATTTTAGTAGTTTCTTCAAACTCCTTAGATGTTTTCTCTGCTTGTTGCCAATGATTTGACCCTTCTCAAACAGACTGACATCTTTTCCACGACCACGTGATGTCTTTCAACATGGTTGTTTAAGAAATGAGAAGCAACTCATTGCACCAGTTGGGGTTAAATAACTTGTTGCCAGCTGAAAGATAATCACCCATGCAGTAATTCTCCAATAGGAGGCTCGTACCTATTTGATTAGTTAAATCCAGGTGGAGACTTTTTTTTTTTTGACCAGGCAGTGTATTCAGGATGTCGCTTGTCATTTTTACGAACGTCAAGTTCTGCCGTCTGTTCAGGAGCACCCACTCACAGCATGCCAGCTGCAAGAGAGATTAACAGTCACACTGCAAATACTGGATCCCAGAAGCTACTGTTAGCTCCCAGCAGAATCTCGGCATTACCGCAGCCGCTCTGGTTCCTGAGCAGCGTGGCTGCAAACACCACCCCACTTCATTTTCCTGGCCAGTTACACAAGAGTTGGCACAAACCAGAAGGAGAAAAAAGTTTTGCCCAATTCTTGCACCTTGCATAAAGATGAGCTCTCAGAACTTCTTGTAGAACAAAATGGCATCAGCTGTGCTTGAGAGAGCAGATTTCTTTACTTCTCATGGAGTATAACACCAGCGATTACAGTTTGACTTCCACATAGGGTATGGCAACATCTCTTGACAATCTTGGCGAAATGCAGACATCTTTTGAGTGTCTGACTGTGTTTAGACATCTTTAAAACTTTTAGATTGGATTTAGCCTACTTTTTATCTAGATATCTATATAAAGTTGAACGTGTTTTTCATCCTAAACTGCTCACCAGTTTAATTTAATTCAAAAGTCTGAGTTTATTTTGAATACAGTTATTCAGCAGAATCTGTTATGGTGTTTATTATATATTTTTTAACATTATTTTCATATTTAATATTTGTGTGCAATGCTTCATATCTAAAGTCACAACAAAAACTTCTCAGTCAAAGAAGAAAAATAAAAAGGTGAGGCAAGTATCTATCTACGACAACAGAAGCTGAAGTCAACAAAACAGAGTGGTCATAGGTTCAAATCTGGGTCACATACTCCATGTTTTGAAACATTTTGCCCTTTGAGAAAATGCTTAAGAGCAGTGTTGGAATGCAATGAATCATGTTTAGACATGTTGTCTGAATGTTGCTGACGCCATATGTGTCACATGGCAGTAACCTTGTGAGAGAGCTGCATAGTCATTTAAAATAATAAGGAAAAGAAACATGCTGAGGTCAACCTATACTGTTTTTCTCTATTTTCAATGCTGATTTTTTTTCTCCAAATTAGGCCAGTGACGGTTGTATAAAGTAATTCCATTAATTTTTTTATTTTAATCAGCCCATAATGATAACATACACATTACAATCTACTGAATTTGAAAAATAAATGTTGATTGAACAAATCTGGGCAAATACTTAAGGTACAGAGAGATAGTCAATGCAATAGCTAAAAAATAGTATAAAATAGTATATAAATATATAGTATAGTAATATATATAATGGTAATATAATAGTAATATATAGTATAGTAATAGTGTATATATATATATATATATATATATATAATATATTCTTATTCATATTCCAATCAGGTCTCTCTTGTAAATGAGTCCTTGAGGCTCAATGGGATTTACCTGTCTAAATAAAGGTTGGATGAATATAAATAGTAGTTTCAAAGCTCAAAAACATTTAAGTACTCTTCTATATTTTCAAGAATTAAAGCCTCCTCCTTTTCCTGCTTGTTGGGACATTTTCAGTTCAGAAGTTGCCAAAATATTTAATTCAACTTTTTTTAGGTCTGTTGGCGATGCGTCAAAAACAATCACCCTTGCCATAAAGTCAGAGTCATACTTTCTTTATTGCCATTCACACCTCATGTGGTTCATGTTGTGGAGCGAAATTATGTACACAGGGTCCCAGTTACATCCAACAATAAAATGTAAAAGAAAAACAGTAATAACATCTAAGATATGAACTAAGAAAAACATCAGCTAAATATCCACTAAGCACTCATAACATAAAAACATTATGTCGAACATCAGCACAAACATGAACATGATTCTGTGTGAGCAGATGAGCACGCATGAACACAGCAACATTGAAACAGATCAGCAGCAACATGAAACAGATCAGCAGCAACATGATATGGTTTTTCACTGTGATTATTCTGGTTAGAGATTCATAAGTCTAACAGCCTCAGGGTAGAAGCTGTTCCTCAGTCTAGTGGTTCTACACTTAATGCTCCTTAACCTCCTTCCTGAGGGGAGTGGGGCAAAAAGTGTGCGTGCTGGGTGAGTGGGGTCCTTCATGATGCAGGTGGCCCTCTTCCTGCATCTGGAGGTGTAGATGTCTGTGATGGTGGGGAGACTGACTCCAACAGATTTCTGTGCAGCCTTCACCACTCTCTGCAAAGCTTTTCTTTCTGCAGCTGTGCAGCCTCCATGCCACACGTTGATGCTGGAGCACAGGATGCTCTCCACTGCACACCTGTAGAAGGAGGTGAGGACTGAGCTTCCCAGACCAGCTCGTCTCAGCCGTCTGAGGAAGTAGAGTCTCTGATGAGCTTTCTTCATTAGGCTGGTGGTGTTGATCCAGCTGAGGTTGTCATTCAGGTGCACACCCAAGTACTTGTAGCTGGAGACCACTTCCACCGCAGATCCTCCTATGTTCAGGGGGGAGGGGTAGAGATGTGTTTGCTCCTTCTGAAATCCACAGTCAATCAGTCCAGTTTGATACCACTCAGTGAAGGTTTCATTAAAAGCGTGATAATATTTTTTATGTGCCTGCCTATTAACTGGCTGAAGTTATTATTATATATAAGTCACAGGGCTGTAATTATTGGAGACTAGCTGGCAACTCAAAATCTTTGTAGCAATCTCATTGACTTCATAGTATTTGAGACCAAGTGACCTGCAAGTCTCAACCAGTGGTGCCCAATCCTGGTCTTCAAGGGTCTTTATCCTGCATGTTTTATGTTTCTTTGCTTTTACACAACTGATTTGAATGACTGACGTTAACAGGCTTCTGCAGAACCTGAAGACATGCTGAAAAGCAGGGGAATGCATCAAACATGCAGGACAGTGGCCTTCAGCCAATTACTGGGCACCATTTTTCTAGTGTGCACATCATTTGATTACCCACCTCCACCTACATCATACTGTACCTCAACTTGTTTTGTACCCACCTTGGCAATCACCCCCACATTTAAGATTTAATCTAATGGAGTACAAAATAAAAACAAAAATAAGTAGATTTGTATTTTAATATTATTTATTACAAATATGATTTTTAGACCTGGACATTTGGGCCTGTGGTCTTGGAGAGCTCCCTTACATGCATCAAAATGCACTACTAGAATTATAGAAACTAGGTTTGAGATGCCTTCGACCCATCCATCATCCCTGCGACCCATCCATCATCTTCACCCACTTCTTCATTCCTGGGTCATGGGGTTCACTGGTGTCCATAGCCGTCACTGTGAGAGAGGCGGGAGACACCCTGAACAGGTCGCAAGTCCATCCCAGGAACACAGAGACAAACATCATTCATACTCTCACTTAGAGACAATTTCGAGTTACCAGTTAGCTTAACATACATTCAACATTGGAAGGAGTGAAGGAGTGAACAATGCCCCAAAGACCCATCTCTGCCTGATGCCCTCAACAAGTTCTATGCACGCTTTGAAGACCCGAACAGACCACCCAGCACCAGACTCACCTCACCACCGGACGAAGAGCATCTCAGCGTGACCTCAGCAGAAGTAAGGAGTACCTTCAGGAGGATTAATCCGCACAAAGCAACTGGCCCAGACAACATCCCCGGAAAAGTGTTGAAGGAATGTGCTGATCAGCTCTGTGAGGTGCTGGCAGACATCTTTAACACCTCACTTACCCTGGAGACAGTTCCCACCTGCCTGAAGACTGCCACCATCATCCCAGTCCCAAAAA